GCAAATGGAGTGGTTCAGATAAGCTTAAGGCTATGAAAAGAGAGAGAGAGGAGAGAGAGAGAGTGAGTGTGTGTGTGTGAGAGAGAGAAAGAAGTAGAACAGGAAGAACCACTGGGTAAAAGGAGGTTTGAATGGGCTTGAGTGTGACGATGTTCAACAGAGGACCAACGAAAGCTCAGCAAAGATTGCTCAAAGTCGCATGACTGTGAGGAGAAGAATTCATTGAACAATACATTGGCCTTATATTCAAGACAATGCTTCCTCAGCTTATGAAGCTCTTCCAAGCAACTTGCTTTTGGAATGAAGAGTCGAGTCTTGAGTTGAGTTGAGTAGAGTCCAGCTTGAGGGAAGTCCGAGTCCTGCCTCATTGTAGAGTGTAATTGTATAAGAAATTGATTCTCATGAGAATAACATATAAAAATGAAAGTCTATTCAAATAGAGACATTTTTTCGAGTTTAGCTTGCAGGCCTTGAACTATGCATACAGACATTAGTGTCTCTTAATGCCAGTTCACAAATACAAAAGGAGCTAAAAGACCCGGATCTCAGTTATCTTGAACCCACGAGTAAAAACTTTTTCATCGAAATCTCCGGTAACTGGACTGTATGAAAAGGTCTTTGTCAGCCCTTCTGGGCTTGAATCACACCAAATGTGCCGGAATAAATTGGCTTCAGCGCATTAAGCTAACCTCATACATCGGCTCAGCATTCTACCCTCAAAGCACATCTTTGTTGGCAACATTCAGGTTTCCGTAACTATATATGGAGTAATTTTTTATGGTTTCGTATCATAACATTGAACTATCCAACTTGGGCATGTTCTTATTTATTCATTTTTTCTTGTTGTCATTTGTGCTGTTATTGTTATCTTCCTCGTCTAAGAAAGAGTCAGTTCGGCTTTTAGACTAAGGCTTAACTTGATATTCACTCAAATCAAACGTTTTTGATATCTTCTCAGTGGCCTGACTGACAAAAGATCAGCCTATTTTCACCCAAGTCGAGAAAGGTTGTCTGGTGAATAGAGTAAATCGGAATGTCCCGGTAAAATCAAACGAATCCACGGATGTTGTGCTCTGATGAGATCAAGCCATACACTAATTTTCTCAAGCAATTCAGTTCATTTTTGTCGGTCTTGAACTCGAGATTGCAGGATTCAGTTAACCAAAGATCTTTTCTTGAATGGGAGACATCTGCCTCCTTTATAGGAAGAAGATGAAAGTTTTGATGAAACCCCTAAAAGATTTATGCTGCACATGACAACGTCAACCGTGCCACTAACCAACAGGCAGATGTGGCAGCCATGGACTAGCCATCTAATTCATGAAATAATAAAAAGTAAATGAGATTGCAGTCCTCCACTGTTCTTGTCTTATAGTTTGGCCAATTTTCCCAAATTATGGTTTCTCCCTTCGAGAATTTCTGTCACGGTGGAGCAGTTGAAAGGCTCAGATTTAGAGAACGAGGCGCTAAAGTCTGCTTCATACAAATCAATAATAATAAATCCCTTTAATTCTTTTTGCTAAACAACAGTAAAAACATCATTGGGCACTTCGAATAATTACTTAGCCAACCAAAGTCATAAAATGTGTATAAGAACTGATAATTGAGTTTACCCAAAATTACATGAACAGGCCTCAAGATGCCATTGCATTTTACATGGTCTAGTTTTTCAAAAGGCAGTACAGTTTCAACTTCATTTCGCCGACTTTCATCATTTCCAGCAACGGATTTTGTGAGGACGTCATCAGTTCACTGTAGCCATGGCTGCCTGTAGGTGAAATTCAATGGCATTGTTAAGACTATTCATCTGATTGTGTAAA